AGCAGGCAGACTGATGTTTTCATGACTCGTAACATTATTACTCCGTTGACACTTTCGAATAATTTGACTGCTCACAGTAATCCATCCAATCAGGGGACCATGTACAGCATCAACGACGGTGAGCTTCTTGAAGAGATCGGGGATTTCCTCGCAATCGTTCGTATGAGATGATGCTTTGAGTCGATGCTTTCGACAGTGGCAATCAAGAGTCCGATTCGTTCATTGAGAGGCTGAAGAAAAGAATTAGTATTCGGTAGAAATTGATTTCTTACGATCTCTTCCAAAATCACCTCTGGAGGGATGCAGACGTTCTCCAAAGATAAACTAATATTTTTGTATCCAAATTTTTGAACAACCATGGTAAAATGCTACAGTGTGCAGTGAAAAACGAGGAACATGAAACAGTTGGCTTAATCCGATTGTTCAACACTCTCCCCCAAATGCTTAGTTTCTCTGCAGCTTTTAGACGATATTGTGACACACATAATAAAGGATTCCCCCACATTTGTCTCAGCGGAATCATACGGTCTTCATGAAAGCCATCGTTTAAAATCTAACAATATTTCGAAATGTCTTGGGCTCGTTTCAAAATGGCTACGAAAGCACTAGCCTATGCATGCGGTTCCAAGGGATTTTTAATAGAATTCTAACATTTCGTTGCAAACTTTAGCCTGACATCCCATGCTATTGTGCGCTGGAAAAAAATACGTGTTCCTGGGCCCAATACCTTTTAGATGAGGGTGCATCAGAGTATGATTCGGAATGAAAGAGAAAATGCACCCCCAGGTTAGTATGGTGCGATGTAATTCTGGATTAACTTGGGAGTAGTTATTATTTCCTGGTATTATATGAGGTATCCACTATGTCAGTAATTGTTTATTATTTTGCCCCGACACTAAAGGCTGCCGCGAGAGATCAACGTACCCACGTCCTCCTTATCGAAGCAGAATTATAAGACAATAATGCCCCCTGGGAAGGATGAAAGATATTTCCCGTTCGAAAGCATGGGAAGTAGCACACATGGAGTGGAAAATCAATCACCTAAACACTGATATCAATCACCGATCGAAACCTACAACAGCGTTTCGACATTTCCATTGTTGTCTCCCCGATAAACCGATAATTTCGTCATTACTTGAATCAAGGCAGACCTGTCCAAACCATGCTCTCGCGATGTATTTCCATCAAAACGAAGTCATTATTGCAGTGCCTAATCAAATGATTCGTTAAAGTTAAGCAACAGGCATCATCCTTCCCTCCAGAGAGTTTGAAGTCTCCGATAGGAATACGCACAATATTCTGGGTGCCCCCCCCCCCCCGAAAATAGGGATTTCCAACCAAGTGGGCCCTAGTGACAGGTGAATCGCAATCGCCTGCGGTAAGCGAAATTTGAGCAATAGATTAGGAATATTATCTAGAGATCCACTGTACTGAATTTGGTTTCCAAAGGATATTCTGGAAACACGTGATGGGACAGACTTCAGTATGACACGTAATGCTTTCAAGATAGGTGAGACCAAAAAAAAAGGGGCCGCTATTTGAGATAGCAGAGAATGAGGCAAATAAACCCTTCCTGGAACTTATCCGCATTTAAATGTCTTACATTTATGTTCACCTTTTTCCAGCCGCTTTAACACAGGAGCGAAAATGCAAAGGGAACTCCATATTTCTTTTTTGCGTCAGTAAATGCTTCGGCGGAGGAGTAGTTGGTGAGTATGGAACGCTCTAATTTCGGGAATGAGCTCCTCCGTCAGTCCTCTCGGATGGCGTGGGGGCCGAATTGTGCAATTATTTATTGGTGAAACCTTAAAAAAAATTAGACGTATCGTGTAGAGAGTGATACACAAACTGTGAGAAATATGTTGATCTGAGAGGAAGCGAAAGAGCGGAAAACTAAAACTAAGCACAACTGACGTAAACTGCGTTCATGTGGAAAAAGTCAATTATTTCTCTAGATTTTAATTCTGGGATGCAAAAATCCTATCTGGACATTGCCAGACGCTAAACGATTCAGAGAACCGTCAATGGGATTCAGAATTGCAGTCTGAAAAAAAATTAATGCAGGAAATTTGAAATAAGTGGGCCAGTTTCTCCCGCAGCGTCCAGACCGAATTCAGAAATGAAATTTCAGTTACTTTTGTGCAATTGTTCTGGCGGTGAAATGGCTAAAGACAAATGTCCAACAATTCCCGGATGATCGAAGAATGCATACAGATGTGTGTTTTAAAAAAATGTAGGTCTTTCTAGTACCTATTGTTCTACCTGTCGTTCCAGACGGAACACACAATTCCAAAGAGTGGCGCTTTTCCCCACCCCCTGTATATTGCTCGGTGGTGACCTGTATCCGGGCAGATAAGATAATATGCGTATCCGCCTTCCATCATGGAGTCCTGCTGTGAACGTCGAAAGGAATTCCGTGAAACTGAGGTGAGTAGACTTCAGCATTTTGTGACTAAGATTTGCAATTCTGCACCTGAAGGTACATTGTGTAAAGGTTTTTCCTCTCTTTTTTTTATATGCCAACATGAAATGTACCGGATGAGAAAAAGGTTATTTTCGCCTTTTTTGTAACTATGTACGAAGTACACTGATCCAAAACGCTTTGGGAACCTTTTGGCTTTAGCATTGGCTACAGCAAACAATCAGGACAGTTCTTGCGTCCTTCGATAGCCTGGCCGTAAGTTATGCAGTGGTGCTCGTCTTGAGTCGCTAACTTTTCCCAACATAAAACTATCGAATTTCAAAGTAGGGCAATGAGTCGTGGAAGGTTTTTTGTTCATGCACTCATTAGAAAAAATGAAAAATTGAACAAGACAAAAATGACTTCATTCAATATTTCGTGCAGCCACTCTTGGCTTTCAAGTCTGCAACTAATTTTTCAGGCATATCTTAGATTAGATCAGTTCAATCTCCTTAGGACTCTTGCACCTCCTATTACTTTTATATGAAGAATTTTCCACCGTATGGCATTCCTTCGGAGTCTTCATGAAATGCATGGCCCCCTTCTCAATTATTCGTTTACCCCAATTCGGAAGACTAGTCCTTTCCTGGGATGAAACTCTTGACTGTATTTTAATTGAAGTCCCTTAGCAGGAAGCGGGGTGAATCACATATTTCCTTCCATTATGCCTCCTCCGTTCGGAGTCTTCCTACATATCTGCATGGTGAATAGAGGAGCATCGGAGGGATCAAGTGAGTACCATATTAGTAATAATGAAACGCATTGTTAAAATCTTGGACCTAATTTTCCTTTGCTAATTATTCCATTAACATTGTTTAAAGCTTGAGTCTCATTTACAATTAGCCATACTCTTTGTAATTTTTTTTCACCATTAAATTTGCCTCTCTACGGTCTACGTTCTATCGTTCTAAGTAAAATGTAGATTCTCGACTCGGATTGATCAAATATTTACGGTGTAAACAGGCATAGCACATATTACGCAGGGGTGCTGAAAAAAACTGACGCATCTCAGCAACTTGCAACAGTTCAACGTCGATCGCATTGCAAATGGGTTGGTTTTCTTGCATTCATAAAGCTTTGTTTCTCCAACAGAAAACAGCAAGGCTTTCTAAAAACCACACTATATTCAGTATAAATTCGTTTCAGCAATAGGACCAATATATTTTCGAGCACGTCGGAGTGAATTCAGTAGCAGCAGTTCAATCATATTGGCATTACGTTGAAGTAACGTTAGCATGTTTACTGAATATCCCACAAATATTCAAATTCAACTCTTGTCATGAGGTTTTACCATTATTGCAATCACCAGGCCTTTACGATGAAGAGAAAATACATTTGCAATACTAGTGGCAGAAGAACCAGCTGCTCACTGAAAGAAACCAAGACTTTCAACGTCATGGAAAGATAGACTGCGGTGGAATATTAATGAAAAGTTGTAACAGTATTGAAACTAAATCTTGTTGAGTCGATGACAATGAGCATTGATTGCCACATTAAATATATATTGGTTTAATATTGAAATGAGAGATGTAAAAAAACATGTCTCGCAAATGCATTGCGCTTGCAGCAATTAAACGAAGAACGAGCATGATTATGAGTGTCACATTTGCTGTGGCATTCCAAGTGCATTCCAGAAATACGAGCGTAATCTCTATCTATTCAATATATGCCCCTTTTAAACCTCGCCACAGCTTTATTGCTTAACTCGCCCATTCCTAAAGACCTGCTTTTGAGATTCATTTTGAGCAAAGACGGAAGGGTATCCCGGAGTCACATCATTACACCAACTTCCTTCTCTATGATGCCAGGGTAAGAATTACCCCGGATCTCTTTGAGTTTGGTTGTATCCTACGTGTAATGTCTCCCTGAATAGAGATGCCTTCCTCTATGTATTATGTGGAGAAGACATATACTATTCCAAACGTCCTACAGACAAGTGTCGGTGGCATCTTGAGGTAACTTGAATTGTTGGCGATCTTTCGCCATCTCCCTTTTGGGTTGAGGAACCTTATTTCTTCGATTGTCCCGCCAGATGTCTCACCTGACATGCATTACTGAAGAGTTGACAAATGTCCTAGCAACGCGTCAATATTGATTATTCATTGTTCGTAAGCATCAATTTCCTAACAACATAGAAAGTAGTCAATATTGTCTATTTTTGGCCCACGGTGCTTCTGCGAGCGTTTGTGATTCTTAGAGTATCGGTGAATATTCGAATAAATTGATATGATGTAATTCATGATATGGAACTTTTTCATCTCATCAATTTTCTCTTCCAGACGTTCATACTTGACGACGGATGATCCCGTGCACTTATTAGACGCAACCTGCCCGCCTGCCAAAATGGTACGATTTTTTAAATCCATTTCTGAATATGAAGGAGGACGGCTACTACACAGATGACTTTCAATTAAAAAGTGTTCATGTGCATGCTATCAAAATTTAACCGGGAGACTGTGATCTAGGACTCATGGTGATAATCGATACAATTTACGTTATGTTCTTGCCTATCGGCTCAAATAAATTAATCTCCACTGGCATGAATACGGTAGGTATTCTCGGTTCCTGTTGTGCCCAATCTTCAGTATACAGTTTAAGCCGTGAAGGTGAAAACAAGTGTAAATCCATCCTCTAGGAGATGATGGAATAATTTAATAATGAAACAAAAGTGAATAAAATTTATATTTATTGCATTCCCTTGATCAGCTCTTCCGACCTCAACCGAAGAAAGGCTAAACTATTTTCATAGCCTCCGAACTTTTTGATATTCTCGTTCGTACGTGTTTCTGTCATACAGGGGGAAGCGAAGCTGGAGCTTAGATTTATTACGCCTGAAGTACAAATTGTGAAGCCTGAGGTATATATAAACAAGTTTGTCTATGGGAAAAGCAATTTGTACGATAACTACGTCGGGAAGGTGATACTACTTGTCGGCGCAACAGGAGCGGGTGAGCGATACTTGCCTGATCGATCTTTCAAGAATAACAAAACTTGCGCATTTGAAGGTCGTATGTTCCATCTTATTTCCGCAGGGAAAAGTACGTTGGTCAACGCAATGCTGAATCACATTAAACGCGTCAAATTGGAGGACAATTACAGATACGAACTCATAAAAGAAGCGGAAGACCAGGACAAAAGTCAGACCGAATATATCACATCCTACACATTCCATCCTGATAGTTCTTCTCAGATCAAGGATACAATCACTATCATAGACACTCCTGGATTTGCCGATACAAAGGGAATCGAGGCAGACAAGTATGTCTTCAAGAAACTCCAAGATTTTTTTCTGTTGCTAGACGACTTCAGCATCAACGAAGTTCATCTCATTGGCATAGTTGTACCAAATTCTCGAGTCAGATTGGATGCCACTGAGAAATATATCTACAATCAAATCCTGTCATTGTTTGGAAAAGATGTTTCCAAAAATGTCTCATTGTTGGTGACACACATGGACCTAAGCAAGGAACCGAAGCAAGTGCTTCATGCAGCAATAACTGCAAATATTCCTGTGAGTGGATGGTATGGCTTCAATAACGGGTACTTGTTTGAGGATCCACCTGAAGATGAAGAGGACAGAAGTATGTTAAGTAACATATGGAATAGGTCTCAAAAGCAGTGTCGTCTCTTGTTCTCTGACTTGGAATCCTCAAAATGGCTTCCAGTGAGTCTAGACTTGACCATGGACGTTTTAGCTAAAAGACAGAGTCTGGAAGATAGTATGAAAAATTTGCAGCAGAGAATCTCTCAAGGTAAGTCACCCTTTTTCATTATCTGAATATGAAGTAGGGTTTCCCTGAAACTGGATTTCTGAAATTTTTTGCTACCGTTCAGAAAAAAGTTAATAGGCTTTGCGTGAAGTTTCTAATATTGATTATGCGGTCCTTCCTTTATCCATGGGGTCATGCCACACAGGAGTGTTGAGTACCTTGCCTTATCTCTGGCCTGGCTTCATCATAGTGAGTGTAGTTTTATCCAAGTGAGATATCTCCTCATCTCACAAAATCGATCGGTCACTGCCATCCACCATTTCAACATTGGCTCATGTAATGAATTCGACACATGATCCAATACATAAACCAATGAGAAGATCCGGACGTTGATATTAAAGATTAAGAAGTCATTAATCTGGCATACCAAAGGTACGATATCCAGCAACACTGGAGGAGGGGACCGAAGTCATCACTACAAGCCTAAAATAACGGTATCTGATTTCATTTTTTATGGCGAAATGGAGCTCTGGATGCAACACAAAATGACACTTTTGACACCTGCAAGGCAATATCTTTTATTTAGTTGGTTTCTTTCCTCAAAAACCTTCCCAGGATTGGCTACTTGGGGGGGGGGGGATACCTGAATGAAATTCACATCTTCGAAAAGCATTTCTTTATAATATTAATAACTTCGTACATCGTTCCATAGGCTTCGTTCAACTGGAGCATTTGGAATGCCTCCTAAAAGAAAATAATAAAGGCAAGGAGAAGAAAGAAAATGTTAAGATGCCAATGGAGGTGATCATGAAAGACTTTGCACAAGAGGCAATGCAAGTCCACCGGTTGATCTGTGAAGTTCATGCCTGCCTCGTCAAACTATACAAAATTGCTCTGAAGAAGGATGCGCCTGATATCATCGAATACATCGAACTTCTCATCCAACGTGAAGAGACGACGTCCCACCCTGGTCACCTGCAGCGCCTCAAACACCTTCAAGAGATCAGAGAGGTAGCCGAGTATTTGAAGGAAATGCAGTATGGAAGAGGATTCTTCCCATTTGAAGAAAAACTCAAATTACTGGACAAGAAAGGATTCAGGCTCGTCACAAGTGGGGATGGCTTCCACATGGAATTCCACAGGAAAGGCTGGCTTAAAAGGTTGTTGAGTCGACCTTCCACCCTGTTGAAATAAAAGTAGCAGTCTCGTTCTTGCTTGTATCATGCCTTCAATGAAAAAAAAAACTTTTCCACTTGTTTTCTTACAATGGTTCTAACAAAAAAAAAACCTTTTTTGTTACTTGAACTAGGAAACATTCTAAGTGGTCCTTGAAAGTCGATAGGTATTATGACAGCAATAGAACTTTGCGCTTCCCTCGAAAAATCTAAAAGCTAAATATTGGGAGGAGTGTGATAACCTTGGATGTCAAGATTGAGTTCTTGAGACGAGGGTAAAATATCACCAAGGGACATCTAAGGGAATGGGATCGTCGTGGGATGCGATGAGAAGAGCACGTGGACAATATGGAGGCACCACCCGGAGAACTCTCAAGACGTAACCTAACAATTGCTTGTTGTGCTAGCATATAGCCTAAGTGGTAATGATCTTGCTTTTCCTTACGTCTAGGAAATGAGAGTACAGTTTCGTTAAGACTGTGCTCTTCTCTCGAGAATATGACCATTTCCTACTAATGAAGCTCTACTAGATGACGTGCTCATTTCCAATTCACTCATCCTAGGCTCGTGGTCTTTGAATATGACATTATGGCACATCTTAACTCCAATTTTTAAGGGAGTAACAGCAATAATACTGCAGGAAGAAGAGCACAGAGACATGTCGCCCGGCGATTCTACGAAATGAGAAATAATCACATTGCAACAGTTATTGTCGGTTCATGATCCATGTGAATCTTGGTTAGAATCTGACTTTGCCTATTCCTTAATGATTTATTCGTATTTTTCTGCGAGAGACTTTTAATATGGCATGTCTTTTGTAGAACAAGCTTGATATATTTACTGTCACTATTCAAAAGAAACTATCACTAGCCGCCTGAGGCCGCTACGCTGGCCTTCTAATAGGCGGACATTTGAATAGTCTATTGTGAGTATTACGTCTCCTTCACATTCTCTGTTCATCGCATTGCCCATTCGGAACTGAACCGCTTCATTAGATTTATACACATACAGCTTACAGTACACAGGGAGATTTTGTTCCAAAACACGTTCATCATGATATTCGAGCTCATTGCCACAATCGCCATTGTGAACGCAACGGTTTAGCAGGTTTTCATGAGTTTCAAGACGACTTTGCTGAATTCGTTGTCTCAGCACATTCAATACTCTTGCATCACCGATTAGCTCATGGGCTATTAGCATTAGTTTATGGCACAGATACCACTGATTCTGGAACATGCAATGTCCAAGAACTTGTTCGACTTCAGCACAGAAGGAAGTTAGCGCATATGCGGCACAATACTAACGAATAATTCCTGAAAATGCCTGGCCGACACATTAGCACCAATGAGCAACACCATCCTGAGAATCTGAAAAAAAATGTGAGTTGCAGCAGGGGCACTTTTCCGTTGCGGCAGCAATGTGAAACAATTGCTCACTCCATACAGAAAATTTACAGCCTGACAGCTTGCTGTGACAAACGACTGTAACCATTGAGATGACAGGAAGGGGCATGACCAAATGCCCCAAGTTCCGTGGTGTAATGGTAACACAACTGACCGGCAAGCAGGAGGTCAGGGTTCAATTCCCTGGCGCCCCCCAGCTTTCGACACCTGATTGCTGCGTTCCTGGCTTCAAGTTGCTCAGCAGGCTCCATGGCTCTTCTTTAGCTCAGAATTCGCTGCCTCTTGCTGTTCAGCGGTCAAATTTTGCGTATTTCCGAGGGCTTTGCTTGGTGCAACTAATATGATATTAAATTGACTTTTTTTGAGGTAACACCTCAACATTGATGTTAAAAAAGAGAAATATTTTCACATTTTTACTTTGCATGTTTTTTTTTTCTTTGAAAGCTTTCTCGGACATTGCACATTGCAAGCACTAAATCATACTAAAGCACAATTTTCGAGAAATATCGTTGGATGCCACTACCAGAAGAACACGATAGCTCATGTGCAGGTCAGGATCTCCAAGACGAAGCAACTAACATGAATTATTCAACGACAAAAATAGGGAGGGAATACAAAGGCACTGTTAAAATCAGCGGGAAAAGGGAAGACATGCCAGAGCTGGAAAAAATTTTCTGGCCTGCAAAAGTTTCCAGAAGTGATGGCGAAGCACCTTCATAACACCATCGATGCCTCTCGACCGTTCCTTTTTTTCTAACCTCTTCATCAGTCGGTCCTGAGCTCGCAGTGAATCACCAGGATCCAGGATCGGGAGAGAGACCGAGATGTTTCGTCTCCGAGCATCCCTCAACTGAGTGGGAATTTTGCGACATACCACTCTTACTTGAACTGAGTAAGTTTCTCTTTCTGGAAAGCTAGACCTTCCATCAAAAGTCTCTTCGACCTTTCTATGTGTGTGTCGATTCCAAGGAATGAAGACATTTATTTAAAAGAAATGTTTTTTTACGTGTGACTTCAATAACCTAACGCGATTAAAGGGGCGAATCGGGGATAGCAGCGGCCATAACGCTGCAAGAGGTCGATAAGAGTTCCGTGAGTGTCCACAGATGTCTGGATAATCACATATCGCTCTCGTCTAGCCACCTTTCGGATAGACGAGGAGACGGGAGTTGCCGTCGTACTCGACAGAGAACACTAGCATCGCCGTGAATCCCCCGGGATTTCAAACGCCGATGATGAAAATTCATCAGTCCACTTGCATTCACATGGGTTCCGAAAATAAATTGTTGTTCGCATTGCTGCAACCGGTGCAAGGTGTTATGTGAAAATGGAATCGAAGAGGCTTAACGGAGCAAACAACCTCTAACCAACAGCTACGTATAAAGTAAGCTCTTGCTTTGTATACGTGTCTGAGAGATCTGTCCACAACCCTAGGCTCCATAAGAAAAGAATGAAGAAAGAAAAAGTTCCACAAAAACTGGGAGAATTCATTAATTAATGGTAAACTTGGAACAATCTGGTATGGCGCGATGTAATTCTGGATGCGCCTGGGAGTAGTGATCATTTCCCGATATGATATGAGGTATCCACTAACTCAGTCGTTCTTACTTATTGTGCCCCGACATCGAAAGCTCCCGCAAGGGATGGGCATTCCCACGTGCTCCTCATCGAAGCAGAATCAGAAGACAGTAATGTCCCAAAGCAAAGATATTTCCCTTTGGAAAACATGGAAAATAGCACACATGGAAGGAAAAATCAATAATTTAAACATTGATGTTAATCACAGATCGAATCCTTCTACAGCGTTCCGACATTTCCGTTGTTGTCTCCCCGATAACCCGATAGTTTCATTACTTGAATCAAGGCAGACTTCTCCAAACCATGCTCTCGCGAAGTATTTCCATCAAAGCGAAGTCATTATTGCAGTGCCTATTCAAATGATTCACTAAAGTTAAGCGACAGGCATCATCCTTCCCTCCGGAGCGTTCGAAGTCTCCGAAAGGAATACGCAAAATATTCTGGTTTTTTTATCCCCCAAAAAATAAGGATTTCCAACCTAGTGGGCCCTCATGGCAGAGGTGAATCGCAATTGCCTGCGATAAGCGAAATGTGAGCAATTGATTAGGAATATTATCTGGAGATCCACAGTACTGAATTTGGTTTCCAAAGGATATTCTGGAAACACGTGATGAGACAGACCTCAGTATGACACGTAATGCTTTCAAGATAAGTGAGACCAAAAAAAGGGACCGCTATTTGAGAGAGCAGAGAATGAGACAAATAAACTCTTGCTGGAGCTTATACGCATTTAAATGTCCTACATTTATGTTCGCCTTTTCCCAGCCGCTTTAACACAGGAGCGAAAATGCAAAGGGATATCTATATTTTTTTTTTGCGTGAGGAAATGCTTCGGCGGAGGAGTAGTTGGTGAGTATGGGACGTTCTAATTTCGGGCATGAGCTCCTCCGTCAGTCCTCTTGGATGGCGTGGGGGCCGAATTGTGCAATTATTTATTGGTGAAAGCTTAAAAAAAAAAGACGTATCGTGTAGAGAGTGATACACAAGCAGTGAGAAATATGTTGATCTGGGAGGAAGCGAAGGAGCGGAAAACTAAAACTAAGCACAACTGAAGTAAACTGCGTTCATGCGGAAAAAGTCAATTATTTCTCTAGATTTTAATTATGGGATGCAAACGTCCTATCTCCACATTACCAGACGCTAAACGAATCAGAGAACCGTCGCGGGGATTCAGAATCGCAGTTTGAAAAAAAATTGAAATGCAGGTCATTTGAAATTAGGGGGCCATTTTCTCCCGCATCGTCCAGGCGAATTCAGAAATGAAATTTCAGTTACTTTTTTGCAATTGTTCTAGCGGTAAAATGGCTAAAGACAAATGTCCAACAATTCCCGGATGATCGAAGAATGCATATAGATGTGTGTCTCAAAAAATGTATGTCGTTCTAGTACCTATTGTTCTACCTATCGTTCCAGACGCAACACACAATTCCAAAGAGTGGCGCTTTTTCCCCCACACACTGTATATTACTCAGTGGTGACCTGTATCCGGGCAGATAAGATAATATACGTATCCACCTTCCATCATGGAGTGCTGTTGTGAACGTCGAAAGGAATTCCGTGAATCTAAGGTGAGTAGAGTTCAGCATTTTCTGACTAAGACTTGCAGTTCTGCACCTGAAGGTACATTGAGTAAAGGTTTTTCCCCTATTTTTTTTATGTCAACATGAAATGCACCGGATGAGAATAAGGATATTTTCGCCTTTTTTGCAAATATATACGAAGTACATTGATCCAAAAAGCTTTGGGAAGCTTTTGGCTTTAGCATTGGCTACAGGCAAACAATCAGGACAGTTCTTGCGTCCTTCGATAGCCTGGCCTTAAATTATGCAGTGGTGCTCGTCTCGAGTCGCTAACTTTTCCCAACATAAAACTATCGAATTTCAAAGTAGGGCAATGAGTCGTGGAAGGTTTTTTGTTCATCCACTCATTAGAAAAAATGAAAATTTGAACAAGACAAAAATGACTTCATTCAATATTTCGTGCAGCCACTCTTGGCTTTTAACGCTGCAACTAATCTTTCAGGCATATCTTAGATTAGATCAGTTCAATCTCCTTAGGACTCTTACCCCTCTTATTACTTCCATATGAAGAATTTTCCACCGTATGGCATTCATTCGGAGTGTTGATGAAATGCATGGCCCCCTTCTCAATTATTCGTTTACCCTAATTCGGAAGACGAGTCCTTTCCTGGGATGAAACTCTTGACTGTATTTTAATTGACGTCCCTTAGCAGGAAGCGGGGTGAATCACATATTTCCTTCCATTATGCCTCCTCCGTTCGGAGTCTTCCTACATATCTGCATGGTGAATAGAGGAGAATCGGAGGGATCAAGTGAGTACCATATTAGCAATAATGAAACACATTGTTAAAATCTTGGACCTAATTTTCCTTTGCTAATTTTTCCATTAACATTGTTTAAAGCTTGAGTCTCATTTACAATTAGCCATACCCTTTGTAATTTTTTTCACCATTAAATTTGCCTTTCTATGGTCTACGTCCTATCAATCTAAGGAAAATGTAGATTCTCGACCGGGATTGCTCAAATATTTACGGTGTAAACAGGCGAAGCACATCTTACGCAGGGATGCTGAAAAAAAACTGACGCATCTCAGCAACTTGCAACAGTTCAACGTCGATCGCATTGCAAATGGATTGGTTTTCTTGCATTCATAAAGCTTTGTTTCTCCAACAGAAAACAGCAAGGCTTTTTAAAAACCACACTATATTCAGTATAAATTCGTTTCAGCAATAGGACCAATATATTTTCGTGCACGTCGGAGTGAATTCAGTAGCAGCAGTTTAATCATCTTGGAATTACGTTGAAATAACTTTAGCATGTTTGCTGATTCTCCCACAATAATAAAATTCAACTCTTGTCATTAGGTTTTACCATTATTGCAATCACCATGCCTTTGCAATGAAGAGTAATTCCATTTTCATAACTAGTGGCAGAAGAGCCAGCTGCTCACTGAAAGAAACCAAGACTTTCAACGTATTGCAAAGATAGACTGCGGTGGAATATTAATGAAAAGTTGTAACAGTATTGAAACTAAACTTTGTTGAGTCGATGACAATGAGCATTGATTGCCACATTAAATATATATTGGTTTAATATTGAAATGAGAGAGGTAAAAAAATGTCTCGCAAATGCATTGCGCTTGCAGCAATCAAACGAAGAACGAGCATGATTATGAGTGTCACATTTGCTGTGGCATTCCAAGTGCATTTCAGAAATACGAGCGTAATCTCTATCTCTTCAATATATTCCCCTTTTAAACCTCGCCACAGTTTTATTGCTTAACTCGCCTATTCCTAAAGACTTTTGAGATTTATTTTGAGCAAAGACGGAAGGGTATCCCGGAGTCACATCATTACACCAACTTCCTTCTCTATGATGCCAGGGTGAGAATTACCCCGGATCTCTTTGAGTTTGGTTGTATCCTTCGTGTAATGCCTCCGTGAATAGAGATGCCTTCCTCTATGTATTATGTGGAGAAGACATATACTATTCCAAACGTCCTACAGACAAGTGCCGGTGGCATATTGAGGTAACTTGAATTGTTGGCGATGTTTCGCCATCTCCCTTTTGGGTTGAGGAACCTCATTTCTTCGATTGTCCCGCCAGATGTCTCACCTGACATGCATTAATGAAGAGTTGACAAATGTCCGAGCAAAGTTAATATTTTCAACAACGCGTCAATATTGATTATTCCTTGTTCGTTAGCATCAATTTCCTAGCAACATAGAAAATAGTCAATATTGTCCATTTTTGGCCCGCTGTGCTTCTGCGAGCGTTTGTGATTCTTAGAGTATCGGTGAATATTCGAATAAAATGATATTATGTAATTCATGATATGGAACTTGTTCATCTCATCAATTTTCTCTTCCAGACGTTCATACTTGACGACGGATGATCCAGTGCACTTATTAGACATAACCTGCCCGCCTGCCAAAATGGTACGATTTTTTAAATCCATTCCTGAATATGAAGGAGGAGGGCTACTGCACAGATGGCTTTCAATTAAAAAGTGTTCATGTGCATGCTATCAAAATTTAACCGGGAGACTGTGAGCTTGGACTCATGGTGATAATCGATACAATTTACGTTAGGTTCTTGCCTATCGGCTCAAATAAATTAATCTCCACTGGCATGAATACGGTAGGTTTTCTCGGTTCCTGTTGTGCCCATTCTTCAGTAAAGCGTTTAAGCCGTGAAGCTAAAAATAAATGTAAATCCATCCTCTAGGAGATGATTGAATAATTTCATAATGAAAGGAAAGTGAAGAAAATTTATATTTCTTGCATTCTCTTGATCAACTCTTCCGACCTCAACCGAAGAAAGGCTAAACTATTTTCATAGTCTCCGAACACTTTGATATTCTCGTTCGTACGTCTTTCTGTCATACAGGGGGAAGCGAAGCTGGAGCTTAGATTTATTACGCCTGAAGCACAAATTGTGAAGCCTGAGGTATATATAAACAAGTTTGTTTACGGGAAAAGCAATTTGTACGATAACTACGTCGGGAAGGTGATACTACTTGTCGGCGCCACAGGAGCGGGTGAGCGTTACTTGCCTGTTAGACCTTTCAAGAATAACAAAACTTGCGCGTTTGAAGGTCGTATGTTCCATCTTATTTCCGCAGGGAAAAGTACGTTGGTCAACGCAATGCTGAATCACATTAAAGGCGTCAAATTGGAGGACAATTACAGATACGAACTCATAAAAGAAGCGGAAGACCAGGACAAAAGCCAGACCGAATATATCACATCCTACACATTCCATCCTGATAGTTCTTCTCAGGTCAAGGATACAATCACTATCATCGACACCCCTGGATTCGCCGATACGAAGGGAATCGAGGCAGACAAGAACGTCTTCAAGAAAGTCCAAGACTTTTTTCAGTTACGTGACGACTTCAGCATCAACGAAGTTCATCTCGTTGGCATAGTAGTACCCATTTCTCGAGTCAGATTGGATGCCACTGAGAAGTACATATACAATCAAATATTGTCTTTGTTTGGAAATGATGTTTCCAAAAATGTCGTCTTGCTGGTGACACACATGGACGTCAGCAAAGAACCTAAGCAGGTGCTTCATGCAGCGAAAACGGCTAATATCCCTGTTTGTGGATGGTATGGTTTCAATAACGGATACTTATTTGAGGATCCACCTGAGGATGAAGACGACAGAAGTATACTACTTAATATATGGAATAGGTCTCAAAAACAGTGTCACGTCTTGTTCTCTGACTTGGAATCCTCAAAATGGCCTCCTGTGAGTCTAGAGTTGACCATGGACGTTTTAGCTAGGAGGTTGAGTCTGGAAGATAGTATGAGAATGATACAGCAAAGAATCTCTCAAGGTATGTGCACACCACCCTTTTCCATTGTCTTAAAATGAAGGAGGGTTTCCCTGACTCTGGATTAATGGACTTTTTTACTACTGTTCGTAAAAGAGAAAGTTATTGGGCTTCGAAAGACGTTTCAAAATGTATCATGCGTTACTCGTGCACGAATAATATACCAACATGCAGCTCGATTAAATGTATCTAATTGAAAAAATGACCATGTTTTGGAGCACCAGATCATAAAACATTTCCGGGAAGTTGTTTGCAGTCCTTTGCAAAGCTAGAGTATTCATTCAAAAGCATTTTGAGTCCATTGGTTGCAGAAGTATTTGCAAAATAGAAGTTGCTAAACGATAGAAAATACTAATTTCTGTTTCTGCAATGATGAATATGAAATACGAGAGGGGCCAAAAGTGCAAAAATGGCAGCTATGCTTTTTACAAAGCTGCCATTTTTGCAAGTCGTCAATCTCATTGCACACTGACGATTATGTATAAATGTAATATGCTTGCAGGGTGACTCAGTTGCAGTTTTTTTTCCAAATTTCAACTTGATGGCTTTAAAATTATAGAAACTGTACTTCTTTTCTGATGACCAATGGGAAATTTTGCTGTCGGAAATATCGATGTGAACCTGAGGCAGGGATGAGAGGTAGGACGAATTCATCACCTTCCCTTCCTGCATGAGTCTACAGAGGAAGATTGGGAAGCACTGTTTGAAATATTTATCGAAGTATCCATTGATTTGTGGCGTTCCAGACGATTGGGTAGTGTTCAAGAGAATAGAGGAAATATTAATTACCTATTCACCTATTCATTTCAAATGAACCAACCTAAACCGAGTTGTGTACTTTCGTTTCTGGCCTTCATGAATTTTATTTTGTTATTGTTTGTTTCCTTCTTTATTAGGCCGGTTGTGATGTATTTAAAGTTTAAAGAAAATATGAATTATTTTTCGGTGTTGAAAAGTAAATTAAAATATATTCTAGTCATTTTTTTATATTTTACTTGAACTTTTGCACTCCAACCCCAATTGAGTCACCCCCAAAATCAGAATGGCAACTCACTGTGTCGTGTGGAGGGCCTCAAAAGAGGACTTTTAAAGTTAACTTTAAGCCGAAAGAAGAGAAAGACAATTTAGCACGAGCGGTTAGTCGCAGGCAAAAGAAAGGGTCCTGGCCTCACTCCACAGACAGGACAAGCCGTCCAAGGAGACGACTGATGACAAATAATAAAACGGTGTTCAAACAAAGAGGACAACAAATATTTAATTAAAGTTAAATTAAGAGAAAAGAATAAATATCACAGATTGGGGTCTTGAGGAGGTCTTGAAGAGATCTTAAGAGTCTTTAGTAGGCTGGGCGATCGACGGCATAGTGACCAACGGCAACTGAGATTTCAGGCAGGGCGACCGACGGAAGACCAAAACAGAAAGGCTGCAGGCACGGCTGGCAAGAGGGACTGCCTCAGACGAACACTCCCGACGGACCACAGACGACCACACACGAGACGGGAAGACGAAAAAACGGCGTGACCGGAAAAGGGGAGGTCACACCCCCAGAAAAACAATGGAGGGCTATGCGGGCCCAACCCTGTCATGGGCAGAACCCATGCAGGGCCGCGAACAAAATAATGTCCCGCGGGAGCCACAAAGCTCTATTAAAGTTATATTCGAATTTACTCAATAATTTACTCATACGACAACTGAACACGAGAGATTTTTTTTTTTGGCCAACACGTATTATTTGATTTTTTAAAACTGGCATTCCGACCTAAGTCAATCTAGCATAGGTTGAATATGATCTGACCGCTCCTATGACATGAGCGCCTATTTTAACTATATACATAAATATCTCGCTAAGATGATGTGTTCAAGCTATTCCATAGGATACTGATACAATTTTCGAAGGGAGAAACGGAATTTCTTTCAGCGATATGTCGGGGAAAATAATTGTCGCTATGTCACACGTCTCAAGTCTTAGGTTTACCATGACTTAAATAGCCTTAGTTTACTTTAACCAAGACGGGAGTGCTAATCGGAAGTCAGGTCATGAAGGAGCGCATGTCACAACTGAATACTATGACTGCCAGATATCAGAGATTTAGGATTCCAGCACGCTCTAATTTACTGTGAGAGGAATCGTAAGAAGTATTTGCTTAGTTTTAGGTTCGTTGTAATGATAATGTTTTCATGCCTTCAAATACTACGGTAGTTCTTTCTTTACAGGTTTCACTCAGCTGCTGCACTTGGAAAAGCTTCTTCAAGAGAAGCGACGGGAGAGGAATGAGACAAAGGAAGCAATCAAAAGAACATTGGAGAGCATCATGGTAGAATTTGCGAAAGAGATGACGCAAATCCATAGGCTTATCGCTGAAGCGAATGAATGTCTTATGAGACTGTACGAAATCGCCATGAAGAAAGATTCTCCAGACGTAATCGAATATATTGATCTGCTCATCGAAAAAGAACAAATCGGATTCCACCTTGGATGTGGGGGAAAACTCAAGCATCTCCATGAGATCAAAAGGGCAGCAGAATATCTTAAACAAATCCAGAATGGGCGTGGTGTGTTCCCATTTGACGAAATTCTCAAGAAATTGGATAAGAAGGGGATTCGACTAATAGTAAGTGGAGACGTGTATTCCATGGAATACAAACATGGCTGGTACGAAAAGCTACTGAAGAGGATCAGGGGTAGCTGAATATGAATTTAATAAGTAATCTGACTTTTAAATTTACACAAATTCATGAAACTATTATTCAAAGCGTATCATTTCTGTGTTATTATTCTTTCTGTGGCATGTCATCCCCAATACATTGAAAGTAAGAACGAATTACATCGATGACAACAAATGTCTGCAACCCATGCACTTTCTCCATCTTTCAAGTGGTGACCATGCAGTACATTATCTGGTCGCCGGAAAGAAATCATCAAAGGTGGACGAATCAAGTCACAAGTGCCGTATCATGACAATTTCATTCCGCATGTGTTCCCGATCCCCGAAGTTTAACACGGTATAATTCAATATATAGTTTGATCATCAAAGTATCCCACAGAATCAGTATTCCCTCTCATATTCGATATTAACCTTTGCTCGAATACTTCAGAGCTCGCGAAGGAGCATCCCCAACTTTTGTAATATCTCCATCGCCTGAGGCTGATAAAATTGACTTTAGGAACTCACATCGTGCGAGTGAAGATTTTCTGTTCAGAGAGGGTGGCCTCAGTTCTCATGTGGCGAAAACGAGCTGGTTGTGGGTGTTCTGCACCTGTTCTCTAGATGGAAGGACTCCTCTCTCATTTTAAATGAAATCTGCAATCCCAGGTAGCAATCTCAGGGCAAGTCAACATTGATTCAACATTATTGCGTCGACACACCTAACATTGGAACCACATTGGCCTGTCAACATTGTGTCTTCATGAAAAGTTATTTATTCTATATTTTTCATCGACCAATGTTGATATGACAGTATGTCACTATTGATTCAAAGTTCAACAGCAACATTACAAGGTTGATTCAACACTTGACTAATCAACTTTGACTTCATATTTATAATTCTTTTTTTCAACATTAACTCTTTCAGTCCTGAATTTTGGCAGTTATCGGAACTATACCTTTTTTATTTTTTAGCTCTATTATGATTTTAATTAAAAATTTCGCGTTTTTTCATATGGTTTTGATATTTTGTATAAATTTACCATATCATACCATATATTAAATATTAAACATTTATTTAAATAACTGAAGGTTAAATTAGTAACGTGTAAGGGAAGGCTTCTTATGGAACTGAGCCATGCATAATTACGCCCCTTTTAGTGTAATATATAGCGCAAAGTCACGAGAATTTTAAGAAGTTGCCATAGACGCAATGTAAATGCAATGTCCATTTGAACGGACGACAGGTCTGAAAGGGTTAAAGAAATGTTACAGCCACGATGGTTCCAAAACAAGTAAAACAATAGATTCATAAACAGGAGAATTTTCTGAAATCATGATCTAAAGAGGTATCGCCACAAGCTTTTGCATTATGCACCTCTTAAATTCGCTGAAGGGAAAACACTTATCGGAAAAAAAAACTTTCGCCGGAAATTGTGACCTACAATGCGCACCTCAGAAGTCAGCATTTTTTTTAGCTCGGTATCAGATTAGGTACTTGTGCACTAATTTTCAGATTTATGAAATATATAGGGACTTTTTCGAATTAGCGCACTCAGTCCATCAAGATCTAGTAATACAGTGTTTTAAGAAGTCCTGGAATAAGTCCAATTTCGTAAAGGCACATGTAGAAATAGTGGTGTTTTCAATAACATATTAGCCTTTCATTTGGTGACGGAAGAACCTCTGAATGGATTCTCTATTCAATAAATCGTTAGCTTTTGAGGGGAAAGCCACGTTGAAACGTTCCAAGAACTGAACGAGAGACAGGTTCTTCAAATAATATTTCTCCTTAGGAGGAAGAAGCTTTCCTGGCTTAATTGTATGATTTTATTCAGGGAGTACGAGGATAATTCCTGAGAGAGAAAACGTTAAAAAAAAAAAAAAAAAAAAAAAAAAAATTTTTTTTTTTTAATCTTTTGCTTTTAAAAAAAAAAAAAAAAAAAAAAAAAAAAAAAAAAAAAAAAAAAACATTTTTTTTGTTTGAATCTAGTGCTTTCAACATTTAGGCCTTCAACACTTTTCCGCAATGCTAGCACCTTTCCCGTAGAACCATGATAAGCATCCAATATCACACCTCCGATCCACTGAGGACACCATCCGGGCCTAGATCAAGTAGATGACTTTTTCTTACTGGAGAACGTTACACAGACTCAAGATCATGGCGCTTCTCCATTTTCTTTATTCCCTTCCTTTTCCTACATTCAGGAAATAAAAGAGCTCCATTCCTGAATGTATTGGCGCGAATACGGAAAATACAAGGAGCCTGTAAAGAAAAATGCTGCATCATTTTCAGAGAGAAAATAATGCAGTTGAAAGAAGGCAGTCGAATATATTATTCCAGAAATAGCTATCAGAAAAGAGGAAAACCTCTCCTTTTACTTATGAATTCGAAGATTCTTCACGTAAAATGTCAGCGAACAAGCCACGATGAATCTCTACTAAAACCTTGAATCCTGAACCGTAGATGGTGGGAATTTCCAGTTGGCACAAGGTGGCAAAAAGTCGAGAAGATTGGATCCGGACTGCTGGAGTTCCATGATTTTTTCCTGAAATTTAAATATTGCCTAGAGAGAGTGAACATGAACATTCAACTTTTCTAATGGGATTCGGCGTTGTGGTTGAACAGTGGCACAGGTTATCTCTTTCACTTTGGCTTAAATCTTTTTCTCGTGATTAGGGAAAACACCGCAGTTTTTGACCAAGACTCCCATAGGGAATGGACACGCTGTATGCACAGCAGGAAACACTAGTAATAGGTCCTCGTGCGGGAAGATATTGATAGAATGCTTAAACACTGCCAGATTAACTAATTATGCTGGATATAAGTATGTCTAGCCAACAGCTGGAGACCAGCCAGAAACAGGTGTGCTTACCTTACAGCTTAAATTGAAGTTATTTGACGGAAAATTTACATATGACCTACCAGGCATAAGCCGATTCCAGTGCTGTGTAAGAAAGAATGAACTCTTCTCATGAACGATAAATGCTAAGCCCTTTTGCCAGCTGACTTTTCCACTCTTAAGTCAAACATGGAAAGCCGTATTCTCTATGCCATAACTGACCGACGATCACCTAGGCCTACTTGTGTTTTTCGTTAGGTTTTGTTAGCTTTGTGAATGTTACTTGCAATTCCCCTCGTAGGATAGACACCCGTTGCATAAGTTTCTATTAATATTTGAATCCGAAGAACTATCAAATTTAATGGAAATCTACAAAGTTATGGTAATCAAACAGGAATTTAAGCGTTTGTCTAATTCCTTTCATGCTTCGGAGCAAGCAAGGGCTATCACTCTGAATCATGCACACCCCAAACCTACCTCGGTCGACATGTCCCCACAGTCAAGAGTTTGAGGAGGAATAACGTCCGTCGCTCAATCCTGCCGTCCAAGGTTGAAGACTCGTGTTTCGGCGGTCATCATAGAAAGAGAAATATCCACTTCGAATGGAGAGATATGCATGACGAGTACGTTAGGCAAGAGGACATTCGATGTTCCAATTATTGATATTTTTATGTGGGTGAGATGGTTCAGACTATCCCATTTTCTATTTCAATTGCTTGCCTTCCTGCCAAGACAGCCCCATGAACGCGTCTATGCTTCACTATCGACATGCCAAGCCTAAAACATCAGCAATTTTGCAGAACCTATCGTTGGACCTTGAGAATGACAATAAAATGGATCTTAATAAGCAATAGAGTTTTCGGAGCAGGTGCGGAAAATCTCCTCGAACAAAAGTTGATGGGGGAAATTTTTCAATTCCTCACATGTGTACGTGACTAAATTAATGCCATCATCCCGTTTTTTTTTTATTCCTAGCCTGAGGTGAAGTAATCGCTGAAACTCAGTTACTTTGAAATTTAAAAACAAAACTGAAGAAAACATGATTAGTTCTTGCTGGAATACATTTTCGTAGTATTGCGGAACATAAGGGATCATTAATAAAAAGCCGTCGAAAACCGACCTTCATGCTGACTTTATCTGTTCGGCGTTGCAAGATAATCATAATAAAGTGTTTTCTGCATTTCATATCGTTAGAACACAGAGCTATACGAATTTCTCCACAGTTTCTCTTCGAGGGAAAAATCCATAGCTATTCCCATTCTCAAGGAATCGTTTCCCGATTGGTTCCACACGGTCACGTGGTATTGCAGGTAGAAACTTTAGAAAATGACATGGGGAAGAGTGAAGCCTTCGGTCGTTCGAGACGGCCCCATTTGAGAGAATCTACGTGATCCTCTTCTCCCTACTGCCTTTGAAGACGACATCATACTTCCGCAGCAATTGTTATGTTCACCACGGAAAAAGGTATTTGAATTCGTCCCTGGAATTGCAGGTTCGAAGTAAGGCGATTGCAGCATACGCTGCCTGAGCTGACGGCCAAAACCTTGCCACGCCTTCAACTATCGTGACTCAGACGGATCCTGTCTGCCGATTCTAAATGATAAAATCGCGTTCATCCCATTCCATGAATACCAAGCATACGAGCAAAGTAACGAAAGACACTGACGAGAACCACTGAAGATTGAACAGTCGGAATTTCAGATAATTACCTATTAACATAATGTTCCCTTTAAAAAAAGCAACAAATATATCATTAATGTAAACATATCTGGCATGAGGAGTAGGGTGTCGATCAGCTGGGAAGCGGACTACGGGATTCCTTATCCGTATCGAAAAATTGCTGATGATGTTTGCCTGTACCTTCTTCACATTGTCAAACTAGCTGAATCCAGTTATTTCGCAGGCTATTTATCTCATCCGTATGGGTCATTATCATGGAGAAAGCCAGCCTCACAGAGATCCGACTTCATGATGAGCCGCAAGTAACACTCCATAGGACCAACGCTTGTTGATGTAACAGGATAGCATAGGCGGAAAAGATATCACTATGCATACACACAGCGCTACCAAGGCGATCTGAGAGTCGCAGGGGAAAGGCAGGTCTCGTAAATTTTATAAAGGATGAATGTTCCCATTCATGTTTTTCAGATTGAGATTAGAGACATTGGAGCTCGGTTGGGTTTTCCATTTTTTTTCTTCATTTTTGAGGCATGACAATTATTAGGTGTTAATGAAATTTTGCATTTGATTTTGCGGGAGGATATGCGGGAGAATGGGAGGATAGTAATAGACGGATATATATTGGTTCGCCATCCAATAGGCACCGCAGCAAACATATTGCATTCCAGAAATATCAGAAGGGAAATGTGCGAGCATATAAACAGCCTGGAAGGAGATGGACAAGATCCTATCATGAATATAAATGAGTCGTCGGAGGAATTGGTCTTTCCTAGATTGGTTGAGAGAAATGGGCGGCATTCGAACTGATCTGAAAGGAGGTTCCGAGCGAAACCTTGGATTATCTTCTCGAAACGAATTGAGAATAAACGCGTTTGAATCCCTTTCACCAATGAACAATCAGAAACGAAAGTGAAACTATGTAGGCCATGGGACAGGAAGCTAGTTATAGCTGGAGCAATTTTAAAATAAGGGTTCAGTGTCAAGTGGTTTTTAGAGCACTTCTCATGACCATGGAATTATTGTGCTCATCGTCTTGATAATGAGCTTTCATTTGTTGAAGCAGCATTCCGCTTCTGCGACTATTCTGCAGATGGCTTTTCGCTATCCAGAAGGCTGTTAGTCGACTCTTATGCAAATTTTCGCCTCTCGCCGGGTGCTGTCAATGAAATTCCAGCGAGAAAACACCCGCACAAAAACTCCCTCATTGGGGAGATATCAGAACGCCCACCTCCTCTTTCTCCATTGTATGAAATTCCATCACTTTACAATTGACTTTTGATACGATATCGGAATTGACACCTGTGCTAGCAAACCTTGGACATATGAGCATAAAAAGGGTAGGAATTGGCGTTTTTACGTATTGCATTCATTCGCCATGGCTGCGATTCGTCTCTTCCTTTTCATCTGCCTCGTGCTTTTCGTATTCCAGGTCAGTTGTTAAAAATATTTCCCTAAATTGCATTCCCGTGAAAATACTTCACCCTTTAACTCTGCATTGAATGCAAACCTGACATTTCAATTATTGAAATGTCAGGTGTCCTACACAAGGAATGCTATTAGCATTCCTTGTGCTGGACAATATTCTCTCTCATCATGATTCGCTTGAGTTTCTTTTGATTCAAACGTGGCCTACCGCTCTATTTATTTTTCATGAACTGTGATTGAAGAAACAGCGAGTAATGGAGGAGAACTACGTGCCTTAAGATAATGTGAAGTCGCCTCGTTAAACATGCGACTCACTTCATTGCACCGAAAGGAAAGCCTGTATGATCGAACATGTTTTTTCCAAACATGAGACAATTTTCATTCTCTCTCGCCTCCCATGGATGAACGAGTCATAGCGCGTAAATTACTCATATTATGCATATGCTCATGTTTCGCCAGGGTGCCATGCTCACGTGCGTGGGCTCATGGACTTGGCCCAAACATGCGAATTGGGCCGAGGAGCCGCACTTGATTCGAGGGTAAATTTAGCCGAAAAGCGTGAAAAGGGAATTCCTTGAATTTCGTTCCATTCCTATCGAATAATCGATGCTAAGGCAAATATAGATTGCATCGCAATTCACAGAACCAGTTCACAAATTCTTTAATTACTGAAATGTCTTATTTTTAGGCAGCACTGGTGGACGCATCCCCAAATCGTAAGTACATCGGAAAAGTTATTTGTTTCGCTCTGGAGCTGGGGGAAAATCTAAAATTTTCACCGTGAAATTTTAGTAGCAGGGCAAGATGGAAGCAACGAAGCAAGATGGAGTAGAGCCATGGCTGCCAATTCCACTGAGACCTTTCAGTCTCCCAACTACCCTAGTAACTACAACAACAACTACTACGTCGAGTGGTGTTACACCGTGAGAAAATATGGCTTCTCTAATTCATTATTACATGACAAATGCTGAAAAATCACTTTTGGTGTAATTGTTTCTTAATTGCAGTGTCCGAATCAGCTGACGCTTTCGTGTCCCGACATTCGAATCCAGTGGTCTTTCTTTTGCTGGAAAGATGCGCTCATGGTTTCAGGAAACGGAGACTGGTCGTGAGTCGTCGCAAATATCCAACGTCCCCATCGTAAAAACTGAAAAGCAATTTAAATTATCGAAACCCATGGATTTTTCCCGATGCAGTTACTGCGGGCAGACGTCGCTGACGTACACGGTCCCCGCGGGAAGGATGCTTTCCGTCGCCTTCAGGACGAACTTCCTCATTACAGCCAGAGGGTTCCAGTGCACCGTCACCTGTCCTTGAGAATGGAAATGCTGGCAGCAGAAATAAAGAAGGGCTTCCCGTCCATGCCGAGGGCTTTTAATCCTCCCTCGAAGAGAGAATGATCATATTCTAACCCATGAGGCTTCGAAAATCGACTATCGTTCGTCAGTTGATGGACCAATCACCTTAAGGAACGCGGTGAAACTATTTAGCTCTTCCGAGTTTGGTCATATTTTAGTACTTGGAAAGAAAATCCACTCTATCATGAATTCCTTTCTGATGAAGACACAAGTTGCAGTTTTAAAAAGAGGATGGCCTCCCTTTTTTCTCATATGGTGTCCAAGGGGAGTAGAAAAAAGTTATGATCCAAGAGGGGATACCGATAAAATATGAGTGTGCACATTTACGTTTCATGGAGCAACTGGGTGGTTGCTATGGTATCCTATTCCAGGATCGCTTTGCGCACTTGTTTATAGGAGCGTTTATGCTTTTTGTGTCGAGGAATGATATGGGAGTAATGATGCAACTGGGACATGTCATTGCTGGTGTTGCAGGGCATATTCCTAGATTATCAGTGGCTGTACTGGTGTGAGACACAGAAACACCACACGATCGGATGAAGAGGAATCGCAATCTCCGAGAGAATCATATCGACGATGAGTCATATGCATTCCAGACATATTCTCTTGCCGATAATTCATTCGACGAGAAGCCAGATCCATTTACCATATATCGCAGAGGTATAATCCAGCAGCAAATGCTTTTCTGTTTCCCTTCAGCTCAACCCATCTTGGTCCACTGCAACGTCTGGTAAAGCGAGCTCCTGCTCCAATATGTTCAAGCGAAAGGAGAACTGAGATCAGCCAGGTAACATCCATGCATGCTCCTTTCTTTCCTTTATTGAACGCGGGTGTGAGCAATTTGTAAGCCAACGTGTTTCTAATTCTATTCAGCCTAATTAATATATGTTGCGAGGGTGTTTCCGAGGACATCACTACCCATTTGAAATCGAATTGGCATTGATACACACCTTTCTCGATAATTTTTTTCAGATGAGACCTCATCATTTGGAACGATAAAATGGTATTTTTCGACGACAGCGTAGCTTCACGTGGGTTCTTTGAGCGTTGGCGACGCGTGTTGACTTGTCTGCTGTGAGTCACCATCAAGGACGAGGGGGTTGGGAAGATCTGTCCGAGGGCAAACATTTATGTCAGGTGCATGTCATGAATGGCTTTACATGGTGATATTTACCCTGAGAGAAGCACGACCGAAAAGGAATTAAGTGAGATTGATATAATGCGATACACAAACTCGCACTAGTGAGTCATCAAATCGATTGCAGTTCAAGGGCAGGGGGATGAATATTAATTTCAAAGATTTCGAAGCTGCAAAATGTCAATGAAGGCTTTGGAAAGAAACGTATCACCGGAAGCGATCGTCTAGAACTGTTTTTTAATGAAGCGTTGCAGGAAAGCTCCTGATATGCAGAAATATAGAGGGAATTTCCAAGGTCGTGAGATATGACAGCAAAAAAATATTTGCCGAGGCCCAAGGAATTGGGGAAGAGGGCGATTGGACACACCAGTCTTCCCATTTAACATGATACTTCATGAAAAGCGCTCAACTTTTTGTTAGAGCTTTTTTTTGAGCAATCAGACCATATATGCCAAGAGATCTTATTGCCAGATTCAGGATGAGTGCATCAAAATGTCTAAAAGACAAACAAGTCCAGACTTACAATCACTTCCTCAAGAACGTATGTGAACACTTGCTCTCGCACTTTTTTTATAGGTCGTGTTTCAAATCATAACCATTATCCATTCCGACATAATCAAAAATGAACAGGGAGAGCGACAACGATAGTCACAGGTTATCACGGTTAATGCCCGAATAATGCATATTTTTGCTACTTCTGGACAGAAGCCTGAGCGATTCTGTCGAAACCCGACCAGCTGACAAAAACATTATTTCAATTTATTTCAAACATTATAACATTAGAAGCACTTGCGACATCCAGCGGATTCGAATGGGATTTACGATCGCTTCGAGAAATCGTGCATTCGCCAGTATCGCGCATTAATACTCACGGGAAAATGGCATTCTCCGATTCTCGACTATTAATCTTGGGCATGAGTCGCGACATGAAGGTGCGGCAGGAGAGAGCTGGTTCTCGTAGATGCAATGCAGGGGCCACGTTACCTGCGAGCGGCACAACACATGTGAAATATGAAGATACAGAAGCAGCCCGTGTGTGGACACCCCTGTTCGCTTGCAACATTTCCTCTTTCGTCTTATGTTCGGAGTGGACAACAGGAGCCATGGTATGAAAACGACCATATACTTTTTTGATGGGGTATCCCATAACCCCCACTCGATTGGCGTCCTCCTTGATACATTATGTTAGGTGTTCCGAGTGGAGCATCAAAAGAAGTCAAAGATAGAACCTTTATTCACTGTTGAATAATGCATAGTGAATAATGAGGCTGTTAAAGGACAATGGCCCCATTCACGACGCGGCGACACGACACACGATCGCGAGGACCAACCCCATAGCGATTCACACACTCGCGACGCAAATACCATCCGCGATCACTTCGTGCTCGATCGACCTGGAAGACTTCGGCCTGTTCCTGCAGCTCACCCCCAAGCCATGCCTCCTCGATCGGCGTCGTTTCTCGTCTCTGGCGACCACGAGGATTGCTCTTGTCGAGATGGAGGCGGCGGTGAGACAGGGTCTTCAGGGTCTTTCAGGGTTTTCACTTTCTGGAATGGCATTTATCTCTTCCAGCTGAGGATGCAGTGCCGGAATGAACGATGGAGAAAGCTTGCGTTTTTCCCGTTGTGCCATCGTGATTAATATTGTATGAGACCGTGGGTCTGCAGATATTCTGTATATCGCAGGAATCTAAATTGATTCCTAAACCCACAGTGGTTCAGGATTCATTGATATTCCAGATCCCTATAAGAATCCAATTGGTATTTCATGTTTCAAAAAATATATTGAATAAGCCTATACTGCAGGTTTCCAATGGGTCTTTTTTTGTTAGGGATGCTTCATGACCATTTCAGGTCAATTATCCTATGTGACGAAAATTCTGGTCTAATCGAAAAGTCTCAGAGAAGACGTAATATTCCTTTGTATCTTCCGCTTTAATGGCAGGGTGTCCCGCAACCCCCAATCAGTTAGCAGCCAACTTCATTATTAAAGGTGTTAGGAAGGGCGCACGAATAGAAGTCAAAGGCAAAACCATCGTCCACTTTTCAATAATGCAAATCAGGCTGTTAATGAACAATAGCCCCAGTCACTCGTCGAGACACAAGCGACAGCGAGGAACGCTCCCGTCACTCAGGGTGATTCACACACTCGCCTTTTGGATCCGCGATCACTTCGTGCCTCGATCGACATGGAGGACTTCGGCCTGTTCCTGCTCCTCGTCGCGATCCCCAGGCCCTGCCTCCTCGATCGGCATTGCTTCTCGTCTCTGGCGACTCCGCGGATTACCCTGGTTAGCGATGGAGGCGGCGGTAAGTGGATGTTCTTAATGGTCTTTCAGCGTTCCAAATTTAGCAATTCTGGAATTGGTCTGAATGGAAATGATCTATTATAGTTGGAGCCACGGTACCGGAATAAGCGATAAAGAAGGCCTTACTCTTTCCTTCCTTTCATTATCCATATTGTATGAGATCGTATGTCCCTTTATATCAATATAAATCAATGGCCACATTCGCATGCTCTCCGTCGACACTTTACGCGCAAAAATGATTTCCGGGTATAGAAATCATTCCTTTTTCGCGAATAAACTTGCATTAAAAGTTCTGAAAATAAGGAGTTTTTGAGTGACAGCCTTAGAGTGAGAAGTGGGGGAAGATTCTTATTCATATTAAAAAAAAACTCTTTCACATCAAAAAAGCCCATCGGTTAATGTCATGTAAAAAATGTGTGCATGAATCATGAAATCGCTAAAATCTGTATGGGCATTATTTCTTTGGAAAAATTCCGACTGAATATCAATATATGCGATGTTGTTGGACACAATGTGATTGTTCCAGACGTCCAAATATAGCATCATGAGATTCACAAGGTTGTTTCTAAAATCCTGAAAAATGACTTAATAGGAAACAGGAACCGGCCTGCTTGGTGCCTGTGGATATTGCGGCAGGAATCACGATTCATTTGGGAGGGGTGCAGTCCGCAGCAAGGCAACGTTTTATACCATCTGAACGAGTGCATTATTACAGGGGAAATGGAAGTGACGAAGAAACTCTGGTCCATCGAAGATTCCGTGAAATACATCAAAGTGGTCGGACGGAACGGAACAATCCCGGCAACCATCGAAAATTCTCGCGAGTCCATCGTGCTTCTCGAGTCTTCTGGAAGATTAGCGGAACACGCGGTACGAACCAAACTTAGTTACTTTCCACTCGGAGATTTTAGCAAAAATACAGAAATGCCTGCAATTTTTATCCTTTTATCCAGATCCTGTCGAGAGAAACTGCCACGAAATGGTGCACGGCAGATGGAAACCCTCTCCGCGATTTCGTGGAGAAAGTGGACGCCCACGCGTGGAGCGATGCGTACGTTCTGGAGCGGCAGGAGGAGCAGGACGTTCTCTGGGAGGTGTACTACCTGGACCGTCGGGAGTGCCTCCATCTGAGGGCATTGGAACGCTGCCATCGAAGGTCCCGGCCGGCTGACGTCCTCGAGAAAAGGGGCAAGATCCAGCGACGATCCCACTTTCGGGGGATGACCATCGACGTCGCCCTGGATATATCCGTGCGTTCGTTCCATCCGCATCCAAGGCGCTGGCCAACGGTCAGACCGAAGAGCATGCGCATGTGAAGATGGGCAGTGGACCACTTCGACTTTGCCGCGACACAGGGAAAACGGAGAGTGTTTGAGGAACTAAAAAATCACCTGCACAATTATCATATGTCTGAAATATTCTGCGCATTCTCGCAGGAACCTAAGCAGAAGTTCTCATGAAATTGATAATTCCGTTAATCATACTCACGGCTCGTTAATCATACTGCCCTTAAAGTCAAGTGGGTTAATAAAATTACACGCCTTATAAATTATTCGCA